AATAAGGTTTTTCTTATGAGCTAGGTATCTGGACCAGCTAGACATTGTGATATTCACATTGTTTGGCCTTGTAATACTTTACCTCCATACTGGTCCTGATCCAAATTGCACCCCCTCTCCTTATCTAAAACATTTTCAAACATTTATAAGATTTGAAAATCTTTCTACAAGGAATGTCCTAACTGTTGCAGTTTTTAAAAAATTAGAAGGAAAGATTAGAAAGAGGGTAAAGTTTGAGGCAACATGATATAGATGGCATTTACAGAGATATAAATTTTATGAATGGTTATAATCCCCCCACACTGCCCTGCAATACTCGTTGCTTAATGATAGGTTCAGAATTAACAGAGATTTTCTTTGTCCAATAGTGCATTCACAGAAACCCTGCAACAACATTTCCTAACCTTGGTCTCTACCTCACCCCTGACTTTTGGTCAGGCAATTGTGGGGCTGTAATATATCCACAGCATCCAAGAAGCTAAGCATGGGAAAGGATTGGTCTAACTGAATCTCATAAGCAGGGCAGCGACATGGAGCCTCCATATTCAGTGCCAGGATACTGCTAAATGGCGTAAGACAGCAGAGGGCAGCAACCACACTGTGTCTTTCTTGTGAAATTCAGAGGCCTTTGATCTCAGTTAAAGGGAACAAAGTTGAACTTGACAGATCTTGGCCTTACCAAGTGAGGTGATTCTTGTCTCTGATCAATAAGCTGAGGTGTACTGATAAAAATGTTGGATAGGAAGCAATAGCTATGTGGCCCTTTCTTTGAATAGGTTTTCTTTTGGCTTCCTGAAATTCTGGACATTTTTTGAGGAATAGTTCAAGGTCAAAAACTGAGCCAGGCAGGCATTTCTGATGGAAAAATTAGTCACATTCCATTGATAACTTGAAGAACCTAGAAATCTCAAAATAGCCCACAGTTTGGCCAGGGTAGCTTAGTGTTTGTCTCCCATCTGGGAAAAGCAGATCATACTTGGGAAACAACCAGTTCTAGAATACTTTTTTGTGGCTACTGTCTGTCACCTCTTCATCATGGGTAATGTAGCCCCTTGTTCCTGTCTCTCTAATGTTGAGGGGCATAGAGAGACCCCTCCCCCTTTTTAATAACTTTCCTGAACTGCTAATTGATACATCTGTTTTAAACTGGTTACCTGATTGTGTGTGTGCATGCACAAGTATCTACTTCCAGTTTTTGTTCAAGGTTACCAAGAGATGTGAAGTTCGAGTTCGTTTCTGGTTCATTAAAAAATAAAATAAAATAAAATAAAATAAAATAAAATACCCCTGGGCTGCAGCTGTGGTCTCCATTCCTGCATTTAGTGAAGAATTTTCTTCTGGGCTACCTCATTCATGCTAGCCAAAGCCAAGTAGTGGATGCATCAGGGTACATTTCAACTTTTTGCTAATTTTCACTGAAATTCTGTTGCCCTCTCAGAATCTACAGGCTAAGCTGGGGTATTAAGCTCAATAGATCAGTACCTTTCCATTTTCTTCCTTCTGACCGTTCCCGGTCCCCTTTGCCATTTTGGGCAAAATGGATGCCACCGTGTCATATAATTACCATCTGATCTGCCTACCTATTCTCCCTTCAAAATTCTTTGAACAACTGAATCTTGGAAGCAGAATAAAATACCCAGCCCTGCGATTGTATACAGATTCTGTGTTTCTTTGGCACAGAATTTAGACTTTGCTTTGGCACCAAGCTGACGCAGTCTTGACTGTAATCTGGGAAGAGCTTTAGTTTAGAATCGGTTTGGCATTGCAGAGCTCTTGTCTGGCACAGTGGAAGGCACATATGGTAAAAGGGAGCTCTATCAGCCGCATTGCTTTGCAGTGCCCACTGCTTCATGTTTGAGTGCCTATGCAGCATAAGAGAAAAGCTGTGCAGTCATAGCCAAATTAGCCTCCCTTGCCCGCCAAGAGCAGATGGAAGTACTGAGACAATGGTGTGGAAGAGATGAAAGATGAAAGCTCTTTCCCCTCCTGTTTGAAGTATGTGGGGGAAAGTGAGATAAATACAACCTCACTTACTACAGATCCTGAATGGCAGGGGTCCCAACCTTCGCAGGCTTGTGGAATGTTTAAAAGTGTCCTGGGCACCATCACAAATTGGCTACTGTAGTTGGGGAGGGGGGTAATTAAAATATTGTACTCGCCTTCCCCTTCTGTGTTTCATGCATGCAAGTACATCTTGCATGTGTTCCTTCCCTCTCTCTATCCCCCCACCCCACCCTTGGATCCTCCTTTTCTTTCAATATAGCATATGGTGTCATCTACATGTGTATTTTTAGGGTTCTATTTTGGTTATTTTGTGTATATTTTGTGCCCCCTGAGCTCTCTTTAAGGGTTCCTTGCCCTGCAAAGGTTCAGTGTACTTGTTCAAATGTTCATGTTTCCTCAAACTGACTGATACCTCCCTCTTGTGAATGGATGATGCCATTTTGGTTATGGAAAGATCCACACTGAAATTTATTCAGTATTGGTATGTAGGATAAAGGCATTGTAATGCTGGCATTTACATTTTCAAAATGTCTCCATAATAACTCCTAATATTGGATTTGCTTTTTTTTACCTCTACACCCGGAGAATTGTCATTTTCACTGGATTATCCATCATGATCCAAGATCTCTATAGCTGTAGGCAGCCCAGAAACTGTCACAGTATATCTGTGTGTATCTCCCCAATGTGAATAATTTTAGAACTCCTTATATTGAATCTTATTTGCCCAGTCACATGGCTTTAGAGCTCTTCCCAGTCTAGGGGCTTTTCATCATGCCAAATAATTTGGTGTCACCTTGGCCACCTCATTGCATAGTCCCAGTTCATGTTCATTTGTGAGCAAGGCAGAAAGAAATGGTCCCAGAGCAAACCCTTGAGGAACTCTACTTATTTGTCTCCGTTTATCCCTCATGTTTGCTTCCTATTGTTTCATGCAGGATTGGAAACTAGATATTTTGGACTACAACTCACATCAGCTTCAGCCAGCATGGCTAGTGATCAGGGATTATGGGATCTGTGGTTCAAAACATCTGGAAGGCATCAGATAATCTTGCTTTGGTTTAATGGTTATAATTCTGTAAGAGGATCATTTATTCTAAAATGGTAAAGTTCTCAACAGCCTTTCATGAGGGACTGTATGAAAAGCCTTTAGGAAGCCGAGATACACAGTGTCTCACTCATATCTGTACCGTTATCAACCTCTTCAAAGAATTTAAAGAGTTTTATCAGAACTTTTTTGCAAACTGATTTCTTCTTCAGCAAACCTTATTCTTTGACTTTAATACATCTCGGTTTAATCATGATTTCCGCAGTTTCCCCAGACAGACTTTACACTAATCAGGAGGGACTTTCCAAATTCTCTTTTAAATAATGGCATTATTTTGGCTACCTTTCAGACCTTCAGTAATGAAGGTGACATTTTAGTTTTTTCAGAAATTTCACTCTGTTCTTTAAAGCTCTTTATCAGCTAAAGAACTTCATTCTTAGTTTTCTAGCCACAGAATCCTATCTGTATTTTATGATTTTGCAAATAGACATGTTTCCTCACCTTCCCCATTTATACTGATTGTTGATCAGGTGAATCAGTCTCCTAACGGAATGATACTTCCCATATTTATCAAAGTGTGAGTTTCTGGATATCCGCTGGAGTTCTCCAGGATTATCAGCATCCATACAGGAGTGTCATCAAATTCTATATTTGGGTGAAATCCAGAGTCAATGAGTAGGCCGCTGCTTGTACAATTGGTCTTTTCACTTCTCTCCTCCCACCTCTGTATCCCATCCCACCTGTAACCATCTGCTCTTTTGTCACTAACCAAACTCGGAAAGTTTTGAGGGTGTGTGGAGCAGAGGGGGCATAGCTCCTCCTCCATATGTATAATCAGTTATATTCCTTTGATGGAATGAGCCAATTGAACACAACCCTATACGTCATCTAGAGGCATGCTCTATACCTCCAACTATGGTTTGGATGATCCTCCGGCCTGTTGCAGTCCACCACTTGGAAATGATAGAGAGCAAATGCCTGAAAATTATTATTCTCATTTTTTAAAGGGTTAAAAAACCAAATTCATATGGAAGAAGAAAATATTTCTAATTATGTCAAAATCTTTACTTGGGAAGAAGTGAACATATTCTATTAATATCTGTTGCCATTTTGCAAGATAGCAATGATGTATTGCTGCCATCTAGTGGGAGAGAATCCTGCATGTAATCTGTTTTGTTTAATGTGGAGTAAGAAATTATTATGACAGCAGTCATTTTTCCTAAAGACCCGTTTATTCATGAATGTGTTCTTGATAGATGTGTGCATCTATCAGGTACGATACAAGTCTGTGCAGTGCTCTAGAGACCAAAGCAGTTTTGTATTAGTCTGTGGGCTTGTCTTGGGAAATAACTGCATCGATCACATAGTTCCCAAGGCATCACATTTACAGATGTCCCCACAACTGCATGTGGGAGGAACATGCCTCCCACAAATGCCTTCCACGCCACAAATGTAATACCACAGTTAAGCCTCCATGCACACAAGGAGTGTTTTTCACAGGTGTGTCCCTTCCCTTGATGACTCTGACATATGTGAATGAGCTGCTGCATATATCTCCTGATGTTGCCTCAAACACAGTGATTTTTCAGTACAATTTGTTCACACTTGTGAAAAGAGTGATCACAAAGAAAGGTAATAGAAAGGGCTGCTCCAACAATGATTTCCAAATAATTCAGGTACTGCCTTCAGCCATACTCAGTTTGAACAATTCAGTGATTTACATATGGGGATGTACAGTATGTGCATAGGGTACTTGTCCTTTAGAATAATAATCAGAACATGTGTGTGTGTGTGTGTGTGTGTGTGTGTGTGTGTGAGAGAGAGAGAGAGAGAGAGAGAGAGAGAGAGAGAGAGAGAGAGGAACCTCCCATTGAAAGCAGGCATCCTAGGATATGGTTAAAATATGGTCCTCTAGACTGTTTTAACTCTCTTTGCTTGTTTGTCTTTTAAGCACTGGATGCATCTTGGGAGTAGGACTTGCTCTGTCACTGATGAGTCACAGCAACTTGACAGATTCCCAAGGTCACATCTCTGCTTCCTTGTGTAAACTTAGCAAATACTTGGATGATGCAGAAGATCAGAGCAGAACATTCCAAGAAGTAAGATGATGGTGGTTCTGTGTTCTCCTTTGCTTGCTGTTTATCTGTTCTTTCTTCATTTTGTTTTATTTGTTTCCCAAGTCACTGTTTCATTTTTACTTATCAGATGTTACTCTTCCTTCTATCCAGATTCTTGCCTATGCGGTTGCCTGTGTCTGTGTTTCCGCTTTCAGTGTAAAGATCATTGAGGCCACAGAGGCTGAGCAGATAATGAACAAGTTGCAGAACTTAGCAGAAACAAATCAGCAGGTTGTATTGAAAGCTTGTGATCCATTTTATTTATTTATTTTGCTAGATGTTTCTGTAATGCTGTGTGTCGTCCTCATATTCCACAGTGCTAATCTCATTAACTCCTCTCGTGTATTGATTTCATACAATTGTATGAACTAACCTAAAACCTTCCTTAGGTAAATAAGTACTATTCTTACATGGCAACCAAGATGCATATGCTCTTTGCAGAGTAGCATAATCAAAGCATTCCCTGGTTGTCTTCTACTGCAATGAAGGACATCCCAGGTGGGGAAGGAGAATACTATGAAGGCATTGCTTCATCTGTGACTGCAGGTGCACAGACTTAGCTTTGGCTGGGAAAGTGGAATGAGAGGCTAAGCCAATGAAGAGATGGATCCAGAAAAGGAGGATTTTGAGAAGGGATTTGACAAGAGATGCCATCATGAAGGGGCATTTTGCAGGTGGGGGTGGGGGATTGCCAATCATGAATAGCAAAGCAGAAAAGGTGGAGAAATTTAAAGCTTTAGTCCTTTCAGGCCCAGGGTCCACCTTTCCTCCCAACCTGAAACAACATGATCCAGTGTTTTAACATATAGCTTAGTAATGGGTAGAGTACATGTGCTGTGCAAAAGGTGTTAAGCTCAATCCCCAGCATAGCCACAGTTTACTTCCATCTGAGGGGAATGAGAACTCCCATAGCACTGTATCAAGAGATAGATGTGGAAGCAGGATCTTTCCCTTTTTTCCCATCATCCACCCTGGCAGAGCCCTGAAACTGTTGCTTGTCACTGTTACTTAACTATTATGTATTAAATAGTGTAAACCACAAAACTTGGGGGCTTGTCCGTCACTTTTTTGTTTTACAGTAGAACTGCTCCCTTTAGATCGGGATCATGGAAAACAATGGCAGTTTAAATGTTATACGTGTGTAGTGCAGAAGTAAGAATACAGTAAGAATCTTTCCAGGTTGGATCAAAGGCCTATTTAGTCCATCATTCTGTCCCTCAACCAGATGCCTGTGTGAAGCTGAACACAGGACAGGAGTGCAGCAATGTCATCTCTCCTTTTCTTGTTTCTCCTCTCCCTCTTTCTGTTTTGTTACATTAAAGCAGATACTGTGGTGCCACTTGAACGACCCCCTACCTACCTGACATTGGGCTGGGAGCAAGCTGAGAATCTACTTTTTAGGGACTTTTTAGTAGAAAGAGAATTGAGGATAGATGTACCATTAGTAACCCATGTTTTGGTGTTGCCTGGTTTGTTTCATTTCAATTTACCACCTATTGACAATCCACTCTGCATCTATACTTTCTTTGTGCTGCTTTTGAAGCATTGGTTGTATATATAGCAGAGAGATTATGAGGGAAAGCAGAGAGTATGAGTGACCAAGCAAGCTGCTTGTAAATCACTTCTGAGAAGGCTTTTCAGCTTGGTATTTCAAGTACCACCCACCAAGAAGACAGTGCTCCATCCAGATACCTTGAAGAATATTGGAAGTTGGTGCCTCTTGAATGCCTTTCCCATACTTTATTAGAAATTTCTCAGAGCCAAGGAAAGAAAAACTTGGAGTACCATCTGGTTCAAGGTGCAGTTTTTATGAACTGCTCTCCTAATGTCTTGGGACGCATACCAGGAAAACAGCTGGTGGAGACATAACCAAAAAGGAAGAAATATATGGCCTAGTTTAACCTGGGACAAGGTTCTCATATAGTTTTAACAATATAACAGAGGCCATTCTTCCTGGCTAAACAATGCAATTTGGTGTGTTTACCTTACAGTTGTGGAATGCTGCTCCCTTAATTCTCTGTGAAGAAAAACCTGCCTCAGAACAGAACTAGACATTAGGAAAAGAAGAAAACAGCTGTTTAGATTGACAATCTGGCAATCTCGCCACCACTTCTCCTCTTCCATTAGCTAACAGGCAGTTCATTTTACTCTATAATATACCATCTTTCCACCAAGTGTTTCTCCATCCACACTCCACAATGCTGCTGGTGGATGGGGAGCAGCTGTCAATCTCGTGATACCAGCTTCAGCGGTAAATTGAACTAGGTACAACAGGAGGAATGTTCATCGCAAACTGAGGATGTTTTTGGCTTGGAAGAATTTTAAGCTGTGATCCTGCACATTATTAGTGTTAAATGCATATTGTGGTTATTACCATTTTTTAAAAAGCTAAATTGTCTACTTCTGATGGCATTGGCTATTTTTAATGCTATATTGTAGCCCCCTTGTGAGTATGTAAGTAGAGAAGTGGAACAAAAATTAGATCTGGGATAAGTAGTAAATGATAATATAGTGTAGTCTCACTGTTGTGATTGTCGCCATCACTTTACACAGACTTACAAGTTGATCTACAGTAATTTGAGCTGAAACAATCATTTTTCTGATACTAGGAGCATTTCTACAATCTGCACAATTGGGCAGGGGGATATCCAATCGTGTGTGTGCTCTCCCCCCCCCGCCCCCACTTCTCTTTCTCATAGCCATCTCATGTTGTCAGCTTCTTTCTCATGCTTAAACTCAATATTGTAATATTTTCTTATTTATTTTTTTGGAAGAACTCACTGTGTTATGCAGAAGCATTACACATGTCCTGTCGGGAATTTGGGTGGATTGCTTTTCTTTGCTTAAACTGTACCTGTGACTGTAAACCGCCTCTCTAAATTGCTGTTTGCCCTATTTTGTTGTTTCACTTCAGACTCCTGGCTTCGCCTTAGCACTGGGTAGCATTGTTCATGGGTTGTCTATATGCGGACATGGTAAAGCAGAAGATCTTGGCAACAGACTGTTTCCTGCCTGGATGAAAACTGTACTTGTAGAGGTAAGATTATTTTGTTTCTTTCTTCTTCTGATAGTTTTAATTGATAATTGCCTGAAAATAATGAGCACTATTTTTGTTTGGGATTAAGCTTTGGAAGTAAATATCTTAGAAGAAGCAATTATCTGTTTGCCACTTTATTATAACGCTATCAAATATTTTAATACTTGTGGTCTGTTGAGTCAGCCTTTTCTTTGCTTTTCAACCTTCAAAAAACCATTTGCATACCCTTATCTGCCAAAGATTTTCTGGTTGCTTGTTTGCCTAGAGGTGACATATGCAGGCCAAACAACAGTGTTTTAGTTCTTTCAAAACCTAAGTTATTCCTTGTAGTAATTTATAGTATAATCCTAACTCATTAAGCACTTAAAGCTGTTAAAATATAAAGTTGCTCTGTCTTTTTCAAAAAATTTGCAAGGATTTAGGATGGGCCAGGTGTTCCATTGAAGGGCAGGAGCTCCACCTGCAAGATCATGTCCACCAGAGTGTCCCCACATGATGCCTGTTCCCAGGCACAAATAAGAGTGTTTCGCCGTTGGCCCACTCTGAAGCAGCCCTGCTGTGTTTCCCTGTGAGCAAGGCTGGCAAGAGGGTGGTGTGGGCATTTTCTTTCCTGCTGGATGCAATAGGAGGGCATTTAGAAGCCATTAAATTTTAATTAAATTAAAATGTAAATTAAATGTAAAAAATTAATAGGTGGATTCAATCAGGCTGGAGAAGACTACATTTTGCTGCTGTTCTCCCAGCTCTTGTGCTGCACATGGGAAGTATCAGTACGCAAGCAGTTAAGGCAAGTGGAACAATGTGTTGGACAAAGAAAAGGATGGGAGAGCAGGATGATGGACTGAATTTTCCCATTTTGCGGGGATCTGAAAAGCATGTTAAGTAATCTTCAAGTTGACTAAAGGTTGAGAGGCAAAATAGATCAGAAGATGTATGAAAGCATCTCTAGTAACTGTTTTTTCCACCAAAAAATAACAGGGAAGAAGTGTTGCTAGGCCCGTCTTTCAGTGGAAGGCCTAGAGACGCTTTCACCCACTGTGTGATGCGCATGCTTGTTTTGCTTGAATTTCAGGGGGCCCCTACAATTCAGCGGCTTGCAGCAGTCAATGGGCTGGTCTCTCTGGTAGGTTCCGAAGGAGCCATGATACAGGTAAAGACTCCGTGCTTCCTCTCTGAAATCCCTTTACAAAATAAGTCTAGGGAAGTAATTTTGCATCGTTTCTGTCAGTGGAACAGACATTATGCTTCTCAATTGTGTTTACAGCCAGTATAGATATGCCAGTATTAGCGCCGAGCCACCATGAGTACCATTAGCCCTTCATTCTTCTTTGGATGCTGAAAAAAAACTATAAAAGCAAAAAGCAACTGTATGTTTTTGATTAGATGTCGATGTGGTTTTTAAAAAGTACTGCAAGTAGTTAAAACATGTTTTCTTCACTAGCCACTTTACAAATTCTTTGTTAAGCAAGATTCCTGTCATTAAAATGGGGCTGTGTATGGAGATGGAAGTGTTCTCTATTGCAGGTGTCCCAAATCCTTTCCCAAATCCTTTTTTTATTGCAGGTGTCCCACATCCTTGTCAGTGAGGCTACCCTGTGCCCCCATAAGGGAGAGACAAAGTGTTGCTTTCACTTCAAGGTTGCTCCAAGGGTTTTATAATATGAATGAGGAAGAACTGTTCACTTACATCATGGGTCCTCAAGCTATGGTCCGCGGGCCAGATCCGACCTGCTATGCCCATTTATCCGCCCGCCTCAGAGGTTTTGTACTTGATGCATGCGTGGTGCACAGCAAGGAGGTGGCTTGCTCACATGGAGATTGTTTTGGACTCGCTCGGAGAAAACGGTCTCCACGTGAGTGAGCCACTGCCTCGCCCTGCATCCCCCCCCACCTCGCCACATGTGCATACGCACCCCCCTGCCCCCTCACTGGCCCTTGCCCACCACCGGCACCTTTCAACTGCACCCTGTTGAAAAAGTTTGAGGACCCCTGACTTACATGGAGGGTGGAATCCGATTCCTTTTTAGTAATCGCAGCCACTGAGAATCCTTTTCCTGGTTGAGAACTGGCTTTTACATGAAGATATGGTGCCCATGATGATGATGAGTGGTAGTATCGCCACTATAAGCAGTGTCAGTAACTACCAGGAGACCCTGTTTTTCCTAGACAGCTTATGAAAGGAAGGAAGGAAGGAAGGAAGGAAGGAAGGAAGGAAGGAAGGAAGGAGGGAGGGAAGAAGGGAAAGGAGGAGGAGGGAAGGAAGAAGGAGGGGAGGAAGAAGGGAAGGAAGGAAGGAGGAGGGAGGGAGGGAGGAATAAAGAGTGCGAAAGGCAGAAATCATGTGATTGTTACTAGGGGCGCACAAGATATCTAAGTAAGAAATGCAACACTGGTTTCCAAAGCTGTTCACTCCCTACCAGGCTGCATTTTCGTAAACTCCAATCATTTGAGTTTCTAGAAGAAGATAGTTTCATAACTTCAACATAGTTTTGCTGCTGAAGCAATCCAGAAATTACTGGCGAATTCTTCTAGGTTTTTGGGGGGTCTGTTCCCAGGGCTGTAGGGCTGCTTTTTTCAATTTGGGAAAACTTTTATTGGACTAAAATAAATTATGATGCCAAGTTATTTTGGTGCCATGGATTGGTTGGATGCAACCCTTGCATGAGCAGAAGCCTGGTTGCAGAGCAGGAGTTTATTATCCATTTCTCCCAGCAGCTGCCCCCACCATGCCCCAAATTTGTTCCAGAGGGTCCCCAACCATCTAAAGGAGATCTGAGGGACACTGGGGTGGAGGGGCAAATGCATTCCACCCATGTTTCCCTTCTGCTAAGGGATACAGCCTTAGCTTTCCAGTATTATTCATTCACTTAGTTAAGAACTTGTGCTTTGCTCTTCCTTTTTAAAATAAAAAAGAGTTGCTCAAAGTGGCTGTTAAAATATAAAGTGCTGGCAGAAACACAAACAAAAGCAAAAACCAACAGTCAATAAATAAAATTAAGTAAAAGCAGAGACTAATGCATTTTTCAAAAGAAGAAATATTATTTTTCATTTTTAGTGAGAAATAGAAACTTTATCCAAGCTTGAGGGATGGGCATGCTGCCTTCTACCCTACCACTACCCACACAGCTGCTTAAACATGTCAGTGTTTGCCTTTCCTTTTTGTTGCTTATGAATCATAACATGGCTCGTACTTCCCATCCCATCCCTCCTCTCCCTTTCTTTAACAGCTGAGGTCTGAGGCTAGCCAGTCTTCTCAGTTCCAGAGCAAGCTTAATGAAGTCATCAGAACCTTGAGTCAGGTGAGAGTCTTTCTGCGTTGCCGTGTGATCCTAGGAGACTCTAATATGGGATTGTCTAGTGTGACTAAAGGAAGAGTCAGACAGCAGTACTGAGAGGGACCGTCGTACCTGCTGGGCTTTCTGTAATTCCACTGGCAGCCTTCCTAAGACAGTTTGCTCTAACCTGGAATGGTCTGTTCCCCACTCATCTTTTGCAAAACGGAATAGTTGCTTAATAATCACAGAGTTTCATGGGAACTGTGGAAAGAATCCTCCTTCCCATTTGGGAATAATTGGAGAATTATGCTGTTCTATTCTGTTTTCTGTAGCTCACTCCCTCAAAAATAGACTCGGGTAGAAAAGCACAGGGAAGGCTGTCACTTGGCATTACCTCCAGTTCAAAATGGCTGCCAGGAGATGCTGTTATCACCTTGGCTCTTGGGCAGTACAGAAATGTAAAAAATAAATGCGGCATATCTCAGCTTTTTCTGTGGGTGTAGAAGATATTCAAGTAATCATTTTCTTCACTTCAAGGGGATTTGGTTGCAGTGATATGAGTATTGCTTAATTCAGCTTTCCCCAATAACCATTTTTTCCAGAGTAACCCCAGTTCTGATAACTAAAATGTATTCGATTGTGTCAGACTTCAGGATTTAGCCATGCAATACATAGAGGGTATGGATGTCATAGCAATGTGTAAAATGCCCACATGAATGACAGGAAATCCAGAATGTAAATTAAATGTGTATTACTCAGCTTACTGATGCATAGCTCAGTGATCATAGCTGACATGCAGGAAGTTAGGCTGTTGGTTCATATGCGATGCCTGCATTTACAGATAATCAGTTTTTCTGGGGTGATTGGCCTTCAGACAAACGCGGCGTGGCTACTGGGGCACCTGCATCTCTCTAGTGTGTCTGCAACCCATAGTCGGACATCTGGTAAGTCTAGCAGATAATTCTTTCATGGATGGCGCAGATTCAGAAGATGCTAGCACAAAGTAAAACAGGCTTTGTTATTTCAAATGAGGACCAATCTTAGGCTGATTTTTTCTTTTATTTTCATTCAACTTGAATAGCACTGTTATTGGACGGTTTCAGCACATCTCCAAATTGCTTAGCACCCCTTCCCTGGTTCCGTCTGTTTCTGAAAATTTAAAGGATGACATAGGGAGGTATAAGAATTTTGATTTTGCTCACAAAACATGCCAGTGCATGCTGCTTGAAGCCCCAAATGCATGCACAAGCACCTGCCCACTAGAAAATGTTCCCAAATTGCTGGACATGGACTCGCCTTTGATTTGTGCAGCTTTCCCAGTTTGATTTTGTGCACATTTCCTAGTTTGTGGAAATATCCTGTTGAGGCTGAATCATCCTCACCTAGAAGAAAAATGTCCTGTTTGATCACTGCTTACTCAAATGTCCTGTTGGATCACCGCTTGACATTTGCCACTTTACTGTTTGAGCAGAGTAAGCTGTGACCACAAGTGCAGGCTGGAATCAGGCAACAGATGATCCGTGAAATTATGTTTGGTGAATACTTGTGATCTCAAACATCTTTTGTTCAACCCCATTCTTGATGTGCTATAATAAACTGTTTTTTTATTATTGTCTGTTTTGTAATGTGTTTGTTTTGTTTTACAAAAGTCAGTACAGTGTTTTAAAAATTGTCACAAGGACAGTGATCCCTGTGGTGACTATATTGTAAATCCAGATTTTGTATGACTGTCACCAAATGAGGACTCCTCTATGGCACCATTTTAGTTACGTCTTTTATAAACATAACTTTTTAGTTATGTCTGATAGGTTCGAGATGTTTGCAAATTATAATTTGGGTAACAGAAATTTCAACATGCTTGCAATGGATCTTATGTACATTTGGTCATGTCAGTGCCTTATATTTGATTGTCAAGACTGTTCATACAGTGTGGAAATGAAAGGTATCTTTCATTCCTTCCCATCATATTTCATCCCATCTTTTTCCATGGGATACCTGCATTGCTGTCTCCTTTTTCTCATTTTGGTGGTGCAAGCCAAGTGATGGTGAGTGCATCTATAGGCTGCTGATTCCTTTATGCTTTCATCTCCAACTTACGACAACCCTATGAATGAAAGCTCTGAAAAATGCCCTATTCATGACAGCCCTACCCAGCTTTTCCAAATTTGAGGCTGTGGCTTCTTTTAGTTAATCAGCCCATATCATATTTGGTTTTTCTTATTCTTTCTTTCTTTATTTAGGATATTCATAGGCCATCCATCACTTTAGTCTCTGGATGGCTTTCTTTTCTTCTTCTAACTTCAACTTTCCATAGCATTATTGTTTTCTCCAGGGAGTTTTGCATTTTTCATGATGCCTGAAGTATGATGGCCTCAGTTCTATCATTTTTGCTTCTAGGGAAACCTCGTGCTTGATTTGCTCTAGGACACAATTGTTGGCATATGTCAGTCCACGATATTCACAAAACTCCTCCAACACCATGTTTCAAATGAATCTCTTTTTTTCCCAAGTTTAGGGTCTCTTTTTATTTCAGCTTTAATAATTTTGCTGGATTCCTGGAACACTCAAGTCCAGAACTATTGGATGATATAATCATCATCATCTGTAGTGGTAGTACTCCTTGCATTCCCAGTGTGACAAGTCTTCCAAGTCAGAATGTTTAGCAGCAGTGGCTGTATGAATCGGGGCTAGTGTACATTTGTTTCCCAAAGGAACAGCTACCAAATGACAAGTGGGAGCAGGGAGGACATCATGGATTTGACTTGCCTTGTTAAACATTAGGAGTGGAAGTTGGAAAACTAGTCATGGAAAATTTTGGTCTCACATTTTAGCTTTCAGCCTCACCCACCACTAGAATGTAGCTTCTGAGAATCTTTCTGAAATGGAATTCAGACCTTAGGCTTAAAGAGATTCTGCACATACATTCTCAGATTTGAATCTGCAATACAGCATGAGGCCAACGACTAATCCAAGGGGTAATTGACTGGATTTTGTCTTCTCAGTTCCTGTGGACTTCAGCTACCTGCCTGAGAAAAGCTTTCTTAGAGCAGCCATTGACTTTGTTATTGAAGGTGGAAAGAAAGGTAAACAGCAAATTCTCTGGAAATGATGGTGGGGAGGTGGGGGAGACAAGTATACATCTGCAGATAACTTCTGAATAATACCACAATTGCTTTTGTAAATGAGAATGGAAACCACCTTGGCACTGTATTTACCTTATATTCTGAATGGTTGAACTACATGTTTGAAAGATCTGGGTAGGTAGCAGAGCGAAGCAACTTCTCCATGGGATCTGTGCTTGCTAAGTTAACATGAATGCTGGGATAGAGGGTGGAGACTTTTTTGGCAGGATAGTAGGAAACAGGATGGTAAACTGTTCTATGTCTATCTTCCTGTGTAAGAGTTTCAACACTCCCAAGAAATCTGTGCCCCCAGCCAGGCCCTGAAATCTAAAGGAAGCATGGCTGGGGAGACTGATATGGGTAATTCCATGGGTGCAAGAAGGGATTTAGTGAGCAGGGAAAGGAAACAGCCTTTCCACCAAGTCTGAAGCAGTTATGTGAGTACTTTCACAGGTGCAGGAAGGGATGTGGTGAGTGGGGAAATGAAGTCATCCTTTTCCTGCCACAAGTAGCTTTTTGCACATTCTCAAAGTGAAATGCTTTGAAAATTGTGAAGCATTCTTCAGCTTTCTTAAACTTACATTCTTGTTTTCCAGTTGATTGTTTCTGTAAGAGGATATTCATTGGATTGTTTATAAAAATAGACAAAAATTTTATTTAATTTGGTTAAATATTCTGTTTTATTAGCTGTAAGAATAATACCTCCACTCTGTGATGTGAACATGTATTCATTGTACAGTAAAATTTTGCATTATGTTGTTAATATCCTTGTTTATTTTGCAGGCATGTGGGGAGGAGTGGGTCCCAGGGGTTGTGGTACTCACTGTAAAAATTTTGATTAACTCTCTCTGAAATTTTTGTGCCCCATACAAAATTTTCAAGTTTGGAAAACTCCATAAAATACAGTTATAGTACTATGCAAAATCTAGCTCTGATGCCAGTTCTTTTAATTATTCCAATTTTGATGATTCATCTTATGATGGGGTTCTATTTTAGGCCCTGAACAAGTTCATCCACACTTGGTAAAGGTAGTCATGGCACCCATAGCATTAATTGGAGAAAGTTACCAATATCCACCTGTGAACTGGGCATCAATTCTTTCCCCGATATTGCGACTAAATTTTGGTAAGTTTTTTTTTCTTTTTTTTTTGAAATAATCTATTGAATAATGTCCATATTGCTTTTAGTGGGTGAGATCTGCTTATAAAACTCATATTGCCTGTGGGTGAATGGATGTGGCCCAACCTGTTTGAAGGCTCAGTGCCTAGTGAATATATATGTGAAATTAAGGTTGTGATGATCTTACTTGGAATCCATCACCCTTCGGTTTGTTGGACCTGTATCTTGCTTGACCCTGTCTTAGAAAGCAAGCCAAGCCAAGAGGAAGTCCACTTATGCTTGCAGAAGCCCAGTTGCACCACTGGCAACCTTCTTCGAAAGTGCGTGCAGTAGAAACAAAGGCCACAAGCCACGTGCTTGGAAGAGGGATGCTGCTATTGCAACATTCACAAGTCAGGCTCACAGCTGCAAGAGAGCAGGCTGGAGTTCAGAGAGCTGAGCACAGGCTCCAAAATGGATTCTGCACACATTCCCATGTGGCATGGGCCATAGATGACATGCATTACTTATCCTGGTACAATCTTGACGATAGTAAGTGTCAAAAATACAAAGGTGAGCCACCCCACCCCCTCTAAGTTTGACCCCAAAGGCTGCATCAGCTGTTAGATGATGGGTCCGGGGCTGTATATGAACATAAGTCCTCCCTTAACACTCAGTTGACATCTGAGAATGCATGCATGTATTGGGAAGCTTCCGCCTCTTCTAGGGAATGTCTTCATTTATTATATTTATATCCTGCCTTGAGGCAGCTTACATAATTCTCCTTCTCTCAAGTTTGTCCTCACAACAATAACCCTGTTAGGTAGGGCTAGCTTGCTGGTGGTGGTAAGGAAAGCCTCTCACATCCCGCAGCAATCCATGTCGTGATGGTCATTGTTCCACCATGGCTAGCAGCAGGGAAACAGCAACCTCAAAAGTCAAGGGACAGCAGTTTCTTGTACGTTTTGCTAAAAATTGGCTTGGGTCCTGCCAGCTTTGCTACTGGCCGCGAACTGCAGGTTTCCACTCTCCTTGCATGCTGATGGCTTCAACCTCTACTCTCCGTGTCTTCTCTTTCAGGAGAAGAGCTGCAGCAGCTGTGCCTTGAAGTAGCCGCGACCCAGGCCCAGTCATCACAGAACGCTGCCATTCTCTTGGGGATGTGGGTAGCACCACCTCTAGTATACAGTCTAAGTGTACGTGTCCACACTCTGAAGTCTATAATTCAGATGAATATTTTCACTTGGGCAAGGAAGGAGAGGGTTGTTTTAGCACACTGATGATTCTCTTACAAATAGTAAGAGGAAAACTCAAAGCCCCCAGCAGCATTTCTAGACCTGCACAAGAAATTGTTAATTCCCTTCCCTTTTAAAACATTTGTCTTCAGTGAATTTAATCAGTTGTATGAGTGTGGACAGCAGCCTTTCAGTTTCTGTAGACATTGATGGGACAGGATTTTGGATTTCAAACCTGCTCAAGCCCATCTTTTCAAAGGACAAGCATTTTAATTAAACGAACGAACACATTAATCCCTCTCCTGAAAGGAGAGGAGCATGTTTACTTACCTTGCTGTATATTTTCCTAGAATGGGGATGTTTCTTGTGAAGGAGCAGGTAAAATCATCAGTTGCGCTTAACATTTTTCTCCCAGTCCATCTTGTAAAGCATCACACAGTCATTCTCAGGAGCTTCTAATGCCCTCTGTTTTGTTCTTCAGATAAAAACCAAGAGATACCTTTTCACTTCCTTGCCTGTGTGGATGAAATATGTAGCAGAAGACAAACTGCAGGCTTTCACAGAAATGTTTATGGTGCAACACTTTGAAGCAAAGGACCAGCCGAAACACCTGGAGCTTTGCCACAATATTTTACAGGGGCTCAGCCAAGCCATGAAACTTCCTAGCCCTGCCCAGTACAGCTGGAGCTGTCTTTGCAGGACTGCTGAGAGAATATTTGAGCTTTTGCCAAATGAGATTCGGGTAAAGAAAGCAAACATTTAAAGTACTGGAACTGTGGGGAAGAGGCTTGCTTTGGAAAGAGGAGAGAAGCTGGGGCAAGTGGAATGGCTAGAGGTGGTGGTGGGGAACCTATTGGCCCTAAATAAATGTGTTCCACTGGGTGGCAGATTTGAAGCAGGGTGGGTGCATAATAACATACACACCAAAACTGTTATAGGACACTGTTTTTAAGAAGACTAATTAGATTAGTCTCAAAAATGACTAATTTGAGACATGGACATCAGGAGTGGAAGCTTCTTCAAGGACCTGCCCTGGTTGTCTCCAGATGTACACGTAGGCAACAGAACAAGCTTGATCTGGAGCTCTCAGAATGGGAAGGTTGAAGTATGGGAGAAGGTGCTTATTTATTATGTTGTGAAGTTCCTTACATCTTAATAACATCACTTTGAACCTGCCCTGGAGACACATTGGCCAGTGCCTTTTGCCAAGCATAAAATATTGCAGTTACCTTTACTGAAGCCAGAGTTTCACTTTTAGTATACACACTGAGGTGAGGTCATGGTAAAAAATGAAAGGCAGAGTAAAGAAAGGAATTATGTGTTAAACTTCCCTTTGTGGATTTCATATAGCAAGTATGGTGAGGCCAGTGCACTTACAAATGGTCTTTTAATTATGTATACATTAGCTAATGTGGACAAAGCCAAATTTAATTTTCTTGGTGCATTCAGAATAGTGATACTTTGGCAGGACCTTGTAGGGGTCGCGGGTTCTATTGAGCAAGGCTAAATGATACAGATATGAAGATGAAGAGAACTTGGACAGTTGGCAATTTGTGTTTTGGGGGGCCAGGTGGAAGATTGGGCAGGGCTCTTGTATCTTTTGTAGCTGTTCAAAAGAAAAAAAAATCAAAAGGTGTAATTCATCATGCAAACTAAACCAGCTAAATGTCCTTTTACATAACAAATGAAACCCTTCCCACTTTTCCATTGGACCACTGTGTGTGTGTTCTACAGTTCATGTTGCACTCCTAAATGAATACACTGTCATGGACTGAGCAAATAGAATAGAAGGAATGCACAGTAGTTTTGGTTCCTGGAGCTCTCCAGAAGTCTTTCTAAGGTGCATTTGCATGCGATAAGCAAACTGTGACTTCTTGAAGTGCAATGGAGTTGCTGTCCAAACATCCGGATGGCACCAAGTCCCCTACCCCAGCTCTAGACCACACATTCACTACGGCTCTTCAGGGTTTGAAGTGGGGTTCTTTTCTAGCTCTATCTGGAAATGCCGGGCATTGACCCCGAGACCTTCTGCATGTAAGGCAGGAGCTTTGCCACCGATCTGCAGTTCTTATCCCAGTTCTCTTCTTATCCCTGTGCAAGAGGGAATCTCAGTGCCTGCTTACTCTCATCTTCAAAATGCTGTTGCTTATCTTTCTTACTATGATGGTGATGAATGAGACCTTTCTGCTCCAGGAGGTAGAGAAGGCTAGATGTATTTAATAGAATAGCCTGCCTTTTTCACCCTTCATCTCCTCGCACTGTTCCCTAATGTACCCCTGCACATACTTTAAAAATCATGGATTTAGACCAACATCCTGTTCATCAGATGTTGCCAAGTAAAGGTGGTACATCAGAATAATGCAATGTATATTTGCTGTCTACCTCCTTATTTTTCAATAGCCTCAGGATAGATTTGGACCTTGCATATTGTAAATGCTACAGGATCTTTGTGTGTGATGGTATCTTCTGGTCCCATTGTATGCTGATATGCATGTCTAATAACTTGAACAATTGGACTCTTTCCATTTAAAAGACAGCTGGCATTTATTTTGTTTCCAAGTAATGGGAGGCATGTTGGTAGTGCTTAGGGGTATGTAGCCTTCATGTGTGAAGGCCTGTGCTGTCCCAGTTGAATTTAGGAATTTTGAAACACAGATGTTAGGAAATAAATATTTTCATTATTTAGCGAAATTTGCTTTGCTGAGTTTAAAGCACTCCTTCTTTCTCCCTGTTTAGCAAAACGAAGTGAAGATATATATAGATGCAGCAAAGTGTCTTTCAGAAATGGCAGATACAGAAATTGACCGAATTTTACAAGTTTCAAAGGTAAGTGCAGTCTTGCTATGTGTTCTATTGTTGGAGTGGTGGACTGGAACTCAGGAGATCTGAGTCTGAACTTGGCTATGATACTTACTGGGGGACTTTGCACCAGATATGAGAAGCTACAGTGGTTTCTTGTGCAGGATGGTCTATCATGTCATTCAAACCCTGCCATGGCATGTCAGCATGGTACATTTGGCTTTAGAAGCCACAATAAGAACCAACACTTTGCTCAATGGTTGCCACATTTCATCATGATTCCCTGATGGTTCAAATCTGACATCGTGGCTTCCACAGTCCTGGCAGTTAGCTACCACAGAGTCTGCAGGAAAGAGTGGCAGTTGCAGGGACTGTTGCAGCCATCCAGTGTGGAATCAAATGTGGAGGCTAATGATATATGTGCCAGCACAAGGAGGCCTGAGTAAGGGGAGTGGAAGCCACGCTCACATAATCGTCTGTCAGGCAAATCCAGGCACAAAGCCATGCAGCTTTGCTTGTCATGACATGTGAACTCATCCACTGACTCTCAGCCTCGCCTGCCTAGCAGGGTTCTTATGAGGACAAAAACCTATCAGGTTTTGGAACAACGACCTTCGTTGCTGTGGTAGGCAGCCTGTGCTGGGAGACGGATGGGTAGAGCAACTCAGCTGATTCCCTTAGATCTCTTAGCAGCTTTTGATACTGTGTAATATTCTTCAGCATGGTATTCGTCACGGTTGTCTGGCCGAGAAAAGGATGGACCATGCCACTCTTGGGTCATTCTCTTCCAGACACTGAAGAAAGTGCTTGGAGGTTGCTTTCTGCCTCAAGGCTTCTGGAGTCCCACAAGGTTCCCTCTCATCCCACATGTTTTTTAATATCTAAATGAAACTTGTGGCTGAAGTCCTCCAGAGATTTGGGCTGAGATATTATCCATATGCATATGGAGCACAGCTGCACTCTCTCCCCTTTTCTCCAATCCAATGGAGACAGTGGACAGTGGTACCACTTCTGCTACTTCCCCTGGACTGGCTCATGGGCAAAAGAGTAGCACTGTGTGTCGCCTGCATACTGGTGATAGCTCTGTCCAAATCTCTGGATGACGCCACCCACTGGTTTTCTGTAATATTCTGCAGTGGTGTGCCGCCCAGAATCAGCAGCAAATTGGCGGGCTCTGTGGTCAAATGCTGCAGAGCAGCAGTTGGGAATGCAAGTTGTATGAAGCTGATTGTGGAGGCAGGGGCAAAAATGGCTTCCAAACCTTTTTCCCACCTTTGGTGGAAGATATTATTGCTGATCGTGTTCACATATAGCAGCCTTCATTCTTGCTGCTGCTAGGTTTGCGGTTTACTATGTTCTGAGTGTTTGTATTTTGTTGTTGCTTCTCGAAATTCCTTGTTGCATTTGCATTGATTATATTGTATGCATTTATGATTATGTTACATGCTACTCTGGGTGCTTCAATAAAAGAATGGGATATAACTAATTTTGTTACTATTGCTGCCACATGGTTAATCATTGGAGAGTTTATTTTTAGGATGCCATCAGGGATAAAGTATTATGCCAATTTTGTCTTTAAACTTCCTTTGCGACAAAGGAGGTTACATCTATGACTTGGCACAATACTAACAACTTCACAATCCAGTGCAGATGTGTCAACATTCCTTCAGTTCTTTGCACATGATAGCAACATAATTATTGTGTAGAGAAAGGTGCCCAGTTGCTTATATGCATATGTAATATTTATTTTCCCAAGTTTGCATCCCTGGGAAAGATCCAGTTTATGTATAGGAAAGTGTTCTGTAACATGTAGTCTGTACATCAGGACCTATTGCTGTGAATGTTTGCTCCTTTTCCCCATCTCAGGAGTTATGTATCACTTTTGTTTATTAGAATGTAACTTAGTACCTGTGCAACAACCCCCAGCATACTTCGAATAAGCAATTTCTTCCTAACCATGGTCTGAGAACCCATTTTGAACCATGGCAAAAATAACTGATAAAGGAACTATGATTTGTGCCTGCACAAAAGTAATGTGAAACCATGGATCATGGCCGGAAGGGAAGGGAAGAGAAACTTGCTCCAAAAATGGGTGAGAGGAACATATATGCAGGAAGCTGGTATGTCCTTGGATTGCAAGCTGGGGTGTACATGGAGCCTCTTTCAATGCACTGTGTCAAAGTGAAACTCAGAGAAAATGAGAATGAATCATAAAGAATCATAGAAGAGTAGAGGTGGAAGGGTCCAGAGAGCCATTAAGTCCAGTGAGGTCAATTAAGAACTCCTTTCTGGACATACAATATCTCTTCTTCAGGGTGACTGTAAGGGAATGTTTCAGCCCTTCACTTAATAATTAGAGAATGTGCACACCAAAGAGTCTGCTTCCTATTATTCATCCACTTTATGGCTTGTTTTGCAGAACAATTTGGACAAGGTCACATTTGTCAAAGTTTATTTAGTTTCTCAGGGCAGATTTCCTTTACTGAAATGGAATGATACGATTACTATTGCGGCTGGTTGCGAACAGAACGAAACTGTTGTATGGATGCTGCTGCACAGCTTTTACCATGCCCGGATTGTGAGCCATGAAAACACGGGTAAGACTTAATGGCAGGAGAGGCTGTGCGGTCTACAAGGGCCAATAATCAGAGGTTGTCTGGGGAAGGGATTGGGCCAAGGAATGGGGCATGGCTTTCCGGGGAATTGTGCAGGGCATGACTGGGACCCCCAGCGAGCGGGATTTAGGCTGGGCAAGTGCAGAGTAGCGCACGTTGGGGCAAAAAAGCACAGCTTCAAGCACAGGCCGATGGGACCTGCAATAGCAGTGGCGGCTCAAGAAAGGGATTTTGAGGAAGTGGTGGACAGCACAATGCTAACGTTGACCCTCTGAGCAGCTACTTTGAAAAAGGCACAGTTAGGAACAGAGCCAAAAATAGAACTGCCAAGGAAGGTAGTAGTCCCTTCAAATACTTCATGTGGTCAGGCATAGAATATTGTATATCGTTCTGGTTACCTTACCTGAAAATACGCGTTATTGAGTTGGAAAGCGTTTAAAGAAGGGCAGCTGAAATGATTGGGGTGCTGGAGCACCTGCCCTGTGAGGAGCGGCTACAACAACCGGGACTGCTTAGCTTAGAAAAAGGCAAGTAAGGGAAGCCATGGCAGAAGTGTTTAAAATGAGGCATGTGTGGAGAAAGTGGAGATTTTTCCCCCTGACCCAAAACACTTGAACCCAGGGCCATCCCACAGTAGGAAGTTTAGCTCAGATAAAAGGAAGCACTTCTTCACAAAACTATGGAATTTGCTGCCATGGGAAGTGGCGATGGCCACCAACTTGGATGGCTTTAAAAGGGGATTGGCTAAATTCATGGAGGAGGATAATCTCATTGCCTCCTACCTGTGCTAGCAAGGTGCTCCCTCCTTTACAGAGTCAGCATGGCTGCATTGACCTGTTGCTGAGGAGCTTGGATAGGTGGAGGCCTTGTATCCATCCTGCTTGAGGGATTCTGTCTATAGCTGTTTTGCCACCATGCGAATGGTGCTGGACTGGAAGGACCATTGGTTTGATCCGGCATGGCTTTTCTCTATGTTCTTATCCCACCGTATCACGATGGCATCACATTCAAACATAGTCACCGGGCAATGTGGTCCAGCATGTGGAGCTAGGCAAATAGTGCCTTCTTTTCTCCCATACTGGTTGGAGAACATGTGGAAACATTTGACGTGTGAAGGGCACAATCTATAAACTAAAGACATTAATAAAAGTGTGGGGAAGATTCCTATATTATCATCAATGCTCCGAAAATGCATGTGTGGTTTTGGCTTTGACAGTGTGATTTTTTTTTTCCCTTACAGGAGTCATAAGGAGAATGGAGTGGCTTTTGGAACTGATGGGGTATATTAGAAATGTATCTTTAAAGGCAACATCTATACAAAATGTGGCTCCCACAGAGGTACATGCAGAGAAAGTAATGTGTGGTTTTGAGAACAGGGGAAAAAATCGATTTATGCCTTCCCTGAGGAATATGTGGAGATTTTTTCTGCTGTGGTTTCTTGCAAGAAAAAAAATCATATTACTTTCATAATGGGAAATGTCAGATTGCTGACAAATGTATATCAAAATGATTAATTTTTGAAGCAGATGTTTAAAATTTGGAAAAATCCCATTTGGCTGAAAGCTGAGTATAAGAAAAATGGTTAAAAAAATCATAGCAGATGTATACCTACTGCAGTTAAATAACAGAGTTGAGAGCCTGGGAAAGCCTTCTGTGTAATTTGATTAACTCAATTAACTGGACTGAACTACTTCCTTGCTATGAATATTATTTTCCTGCGTGCTTAATGTAATTAAGGCTGTAGTCCTGGGATTCCTTGGGGAGCATTGCAGGGGTCTCAGGATGTTGCAGACTGTGTTCTCCAGCTTCTTATAGTGATGAAGCCTTCCTTGAGAGTCTTTCTTTTTTTCTGGTCCTTGGGAAAAGAGTGTATTGGAAATGAACCAAGAGAAGCCCGGGAGCCACAAGAGTCAAAGGCCACCCATTCCCCAAAACATCCCTCTGGGAAAGATGGAAATGTTACGCCAGCCATGGAGCTGCCAGGTGTACATTCTTCCCTTCCCATTAGTAGCAGTTAGAAGCTTTTGGCCATTAGGCTTTTAATTAAAGCTGCAGCAACTTTACAACATCCAGGTACCTAGTCCTAGTCCTCCCAAGAAACCTGCAAGATGAGATGGACTTTGCTGATGTCCCTTAGCAGCTAAAGCTGGGTCAAGCTGCCACCTTCCATATTCTATGCATACTACAAAATACTGCCGTTTCAGTTATCTGCTCAAGACGGAAACAAATTAATGCCTGCAGAAATGAGAGATACTAATTTCTCTTTGTCCTACCTCGCTTATCTTGTTTGATCAATTATATAATGGGGCATTTTGGATGTCATGACAACAACATGAAAAATAAGCTAATTTGCCCACAGGGACTGTCCTATATTGGTGGTCATTTTGAATATTTAAGCTGAAACTGCATGATCTGTTTTAGGATTGTGGGTACTTTGGTAACCACACCAACAACCCCCTTTGCTGGGTTTGCACAAAATAACAAGCTATGGTCCTGACTGGAGTGATCACCTTTGCACCTGTGAGAGCTGGCGCTCAAAGAGGCCATAAAGTGCAGCAGTGATTATGTGAACCTGGTCACTGGCTTATTCACATGTTCCTGTACTAAGGCATGACCCCTGAAAATTGCCCACATGCTAGCTTTCTCTTTCTCCGCTTTGAGCTTCTGAACTCAATAGTGTAGAACCACTGCACTGACTTCTTAGTCTTCTCCAGACTTCATTATGTCTATTAGCCAGATGTGCATCTGTTTCCCGTTTAGGCTGTCAACTTCCTGTTGTGGATTTTTGCTGCCTCTGTGGTTGTGTGGGCCGACCATGCTGCACCACTGCTGCTGGGCCTCACTGCTGACTGGTCTTCCTGGGAATGTGAGGCAACTTCCGGATTATCTGAGAGTTGTCTGGGCAAGCGTCAAATAGATAATCTGGCTGTCCAAGAGATTCTCATCCTTTTTCCAGGTAGCTTACAAGTTCTGTTGGCTAAAGAGCCTTGGAAAGAACAATCACAAAAGGTATGTGATTTGTCTTCTACGTGGGTTTTCATAGCATGCTGAGAATTTTCTACATTCAGTGAATCAGTGAGCCTTAAGTATTTGTGATTACTGATTCAGCATCTATGTTGTAATAAGCTCTGTATATAAAACATTGTGTTCGTGTTTATGCATCTCTGTTAATTTTTCAAAGCAATTGCAGTGACTTATTTATAAAGGCAGCACACAGAATGATTTCTGAGAACCAAAAATGTTAAAGCCAGGTTGTTAACATAAATTAAAGTTCCATCAGATACAATCAAATGGAAATGAAAATATTTAAGAGGTGTCCATGTAAACTGTATATGTGGAAGAATGAAAAAAAGTGAATCCTGTCTAAAACTCTGCAATGAAAGGAGTTTCTCCTTTTGCAATGAAATCAGAAGGGTCAAGCTCATATGTATAAAAAGCAGGCACCAGATCTCCCATCAATTTAATCCCCCCCAAAGTGAAGGAATACTTAGAAGAGGCTTTTCTGTGAATCTTAATGTGCAACTTGGCTCATATGAAGAGCAGACAGTGCTTCTTAGTTAAATGAACATGACAAGCCTAAGAACTGGGGCTTTAAAAGAGATCAGAACTGCCAGTACAAGTAACCTAACAATTTTCTTCCTTTATATGTCAATGCAGCAAGTACACTCTGAGTTTATTTGAAAATCAGACATAGCTTATGTATTTATCTGACAAATTGTCTGAGAGCGTGTGAGTGAATGGTGGTGTTCTCAGCCTCTGTGCTGGAAATATCAAAGGCAGGGCTTGTTGTTATGTGTGGATTCAACAAGCGTGGGGAAGTGCAGTTGTTTGGATTCCATAAAACCCCATGGAAAATTAAGGTTTCCATGCTTTACCATTGCTTGTTACATGTGACTTCAGTTGCCATGTTTCCACGCAGTTTCTGTTTCTGCCAGTGAGTTTGGCAGCAAGAGTGGTTGTGGCATCAGCAGACACTCCGGTTTCCATTATCCACTAGCTTGTTCTGCTCTGATTGGCTGTCTCCCTGGTCCCTTTCTCTCCTGACAGTTCCTGCCTCTCCAATGCCCTGCCATCCCACATCTCCAATGCTTTATATCTCTGCTTGATGTTGTCACCACAGAGTTCCTGTGCAGGTGTAATGCAGTAACCATGGTTAAGAATCAAGTCTGAACACCTAAATTGCGTTGAAGGATTGGCTGCAAACCAAAACTTTCTTGATAAACCGCATTGCACCTGTGTTGGAACACAGCACTGTGAAAGCCTTTTCTCCTCGCTTGCAAGGATCTCAGTGGTGCATCTAAGCCCTTAATGTATTGCTCAGAAAGCTAAACCAGGAAGCATCACAAGATTAAGGTAGCAAACAAGCCTTGGTTAGTTTACTCACCATAATTAAGCATTCTGTTTGGACAAGGCTTGGGGGTCAAAGTGAGAAACATCATAACATATCTTTTGTCAACATTTCAGCACTTCCAGGACAGGATGTTAAATGCTACTCCTCCCATGCTATTTTTGCAATCTTGCTTGTCAGTTGGAAAACAGGCAGTTAGGAAGTATTACCATGTATTTGCAGTTCATATATAGTATGTGCTTCAGAGTTGATCAGATATGAACTTATACTCCACCCTACTCAGATACTAGTCAGTTCCCCTATACTCTTCACTGGTCAGACTCACCTGGAATACTATGTCCAGTTCTGGGCACCAAGATTTTAGAATGATGCAATAAAATTAGAAAGGGTTCAGAGGAGGGCAACAAAAATGATCCAGGGTTTGGAAAAACTACCCTGTGAGGAGGCACTGAGAGAACTGGGCATGTTCAGCCCTTAGAAAACTGAGGGGGGACATGATAAAAGTACCTCAAAGGCTTTCACAAGGAGGAAGGTCAAGATCTCTTCTTGCTGATAACAGAGTGTAGGATACAGAGTAATCAAGTCAACCTGCAATAACCCAGATTCAGGCTAGATATCAGGAAAAAGCTTCCTCACTGTCGGAGCAATGCAACAGTGGAACCAGCTGCCTAAAGAGGTTGTGGGCTCTCCCACACTAGAGGCATTCAAGAAGAAACTGGACAGCCATCTGAGTGGGATGGTGTAACTTGGTGTCCTGCAACAGCAGGGGGTTTATTTATTTATTTAAAACTTTTCTAGACCATCCCATTACCAAAGTCTCAGGATGGTTTAATACAGGGTTTAGCAATAAAGGGTTGGACCTAATGGCCTTCATGACCCCTTCCAACTCTACTAATCTATAATTCTTTGATTAACACCGATGCTGACTCGTTCTTTTTTCCTGAACTAACTTGCTGAAGCTGATTAAAGCAGACTACACATACGTGGTTTTATCTAGATATTTTGGGTTGCTATTCCCATCATCCTCAACTAGTAAAAGAATTGAAGTCCAACAAATCTGGAGAAAACATTATTGAAGAAGGCTGGGATATGGTATCCTGATTAGAAAATTATTCTAATGTCTTAACTGTAATTTTTTCTAGTTTATTGAGTGGATGTTTAGCATAATGGAGAGTGCAAATGAAGTACTGTCCCAGTCTTCTAGAGATCTTTTGAAAGGTATTGTAATGCTTGAATTCTTATAATATTTCACCTTGGGAAATGCATTCCCCTGAGGGTCAACCCACTTCCTGACACTTAAGTGGCAATTCAAATTCTAGGAGCAGTTTTCTATCATACACATAAGATTGATTTATGACCCATAAGACTGATTCATGCATCTGCTTAATTTTAAAAGGTACCTAATAGGATGTGTTAGCTACACTTTCAGTTCTGAAGAGAAACTGCTGCAAATCAGAGGCAAGCCTTTCAGAACTGAGATCCAAAGCAGCTTAATTTGGGTCTTACTTTAAGATATATATAGAATATACTCCTGATATACTAATATTATATTGTCCCTATTTTGGAATATTAGCAAATAATAATTGGCAAATAAAATGTATGTAGTTCATCTTCTTTGTCTTGCCACAGCCCATCTTGGTGCTTTCATACGTGGTGTTTTTAAGAAGTTTCACCATGCTTACAGCAGTATTTCTCACGCTTGGGTCCCTTGATGTTGTTGAATCTAGAATATTCACTCTGGAAGATCAAGAATATTCTTCAGTTTGGTGCAGACACCAAGAGGATGCTTCTGTTCGTAGCACTGACCGATGTGATAAATGTTCCTTATTTTCAGCTTCTCTATTGGCCCTGAGGTCTTTGCCAGAATTCAAGAAGAAGGCAGTATGGACGAAGGCTTATGGATGGTAACAATGGTGTGACATCTTCACTTTGGCCAAAGAAGTGAGCATTAGTGAGAGAAGAATTATAGCTGATGTCAAGCCATATCATACCAAAGAGCTTATATGCATTGGACCAGGGTGGTGTTTCCACTTTAGAGAGAGTGCCGTTTTTCCCAAAGAAGTGACTTAGAAAGCTAATTGGGTGCATCTGTGCTTTTGATCAAATAGATTAAAAGCGAGTGTGTCACATACTTTGCCTTGCTAAAAGTCTGATTTGAGTCTGAATGACTGAGTTCTATTTTTTGAAATATAAAGGGGTAGAGTGAACATTAAGAGCATGCAGGTTATATGAAAATTGTCAATGATCCTGTGACAAAATAAAAGACATTACTCTGAAATCCAGGCTGCAGTTTGAGTTTTATACATTAGAAAATATATTGTAGCAACTTTCCGCAGTGTGGTGGGCCCTTCAGAAATTTTCATACTCATAACATCACATACTCTATTTTCAGTTAGCTACACTGTTCACTGCTCCATTTTATATTTAACTTTTCTTATATGAACATATTAAAACAATATTTTAATCCTGTACTTCATTCCATGAAGTCACTGGGAAACTAAATTAATTTGCATCTCTATTTCTTTTTAATTTTACATTTTATTGTAAACTCGTATTTCCCATGGATAAAAGTTAATGAATTGAAATAGTTGCAGAAATTCCTGTTCTGTGCCAAAAGTTAAAATAAGGGTTCAAATTTTAAAGATTTGTACTGCTTTGATTCTGTAACTTGGAGCTATTTCTCAATGAGATGGTTATCTTATGTCTATGTTGTATCACTCCTGGCTGCAATTCCACACATGGGAGGCTGAACTCCAATGCCAGAATGTTTTTCCATGTTGGGGATTTGTGTAGATTTCACACATGTAGAAAGATGGTGTGTACACAGAAGGTCAAACAAGAAGTCTTCTTTCAGTTGGCCTGGCATTAGATGGAAATATGCTTGGACAACTGTTGGGTCCCAGTAGGGCCCAGTCCTGACACTTGACCTGATACCTCCTTCAAATCCCTCCCTAGAAGTTGGCAAACTTGCCTTTCTAGTACTCTCCAAAGCAGGTTTCCTCAAGCTGGTGCTCTCCAGCTATGAAAGACCACAATGCTCAAACCCCAGTGGCTGTGCTGGCTGTGAATGTTGGGAGTTGCGACCCAACACACCTGGAAGGCACCAGTTTGGGCAAGGTTGCATCAAACAATATAGGTGTCCCTTTTTTCAATGAGATTGGTAAAATATTTATTCCTGATGGAAGATGGGCTGGAAGAGTGCAAGCAAAGTACTGTCTAGAGAGGAAAAATTGTATAATCTGAATGGGCCAATGGCAGAAAACAAAGGTTTGGTAGGAATGTGAACCCAAGAGCATTGGCCACCATAATAAAATATATGCACTCAGTATATAGAAGTATTTAGACATACAGAAATCCCAGATTTGTCTGAATCCTGATCAACCAATTCTTTAGTATTTAGTTGTGCTTTCATAAGATTGCCCCAGTAATTTAGCCTTTTAAAATTGAAATTGGTTTTGGTCATGGTGTCCTAGATACAGAATGACTGTTGTGCTGATAAATAACACATGAAAGGCTGCTAATACGTATATGTGTCAGTTTGTACCATTAAAGCCTTTGTTATCCCCAGGAATTCCCAGATTATTATATTTCTGATGCTCTCTGGGTCATATGGCATGCATAGGTATTGATCTTCTTAGCTGGCAAGTAGGATACTATGCAAGTGTCTTGATTAACACAACACGAGATCCTAGGGGAAGCATGTACTGTGTCTTAGCCCTTTTGCATTTCATTTTAACTCTTCCTAGTGAACTGTTTGCATTTCATAGCTTTTTGTGTAACACTTGCCCGTCCTGCAATGAACTTCTGAGCTATATTTAGCTTTCCAGCTGCATTTATTGACAAAAACCTATTTTGGAGCAGTAAGAAATGCTTAAGTAATTTGTTTAGTGGCAGTGCTATTAAGAGTAAACACTTTGTAAGTGAATTTAAACAATTCTAAGTGTGGGTGCATATATTGTAGTCAAGGAACTCCCAATGTGCACACTTAAATCCTGCACAAGATGGACTTCCCCACTGGCTTCAATAGAAGAGGTCGTTTGTGCACTCCAGTTGAAATGTAGTGAAGGAGAAATTGCAAGTGCTCCGATCCCTTCAGGAAACTACTGGGATAGGGGATGATTGCCTTGTTGTTTTCTCGCATCCATCACATCCAAGGACGAAGGATGGGTCTCAAAAATGGCAATGCTGCACCAGAGTCATGAATCTGTTGTGTGTGCATACTATTTACACAGTTAGTGTGAAGAGATCTACTTGTTAAGGAAGTGTGTGGCATGTTTCTTCAAGCTGGAGTTGTACAAATTACTGTCACTTAGAATGCTAATTAGATCCTTGGTGTGTTTTTCCCAGTGGAACATCTCAAGCCAATTTTCCTCATCACCAGAAGGAAGACAAGTTAGCTTGTTTTTGCCTTGATGTTGGAACTTCCAAGATGAGCTTTCCGTTCTGTGTAGAGGTGTTGGACAATGAAATAAGTGCCTGAATTTAAAATACAACATGAATTACATATAAAAAAAGGAAAGCAACATAAAGCAGCAATGTCATCACTCTGATAAAGTCTTAAGGTACAAGCTTACAATGCAAGTTTCAACCAAAAAAGTGTCCAACTTGCAGCATGCTAGAAATTGGAGGTTTTTATGCTGTCTAAATGTGCATAGAAGGCTAAAATCTTACTCCTTTACCTGGGAGTAAGTCCCACTGAACATACCAGGACTTCTGTTAGACTGCAACTCCCAAATCCCAATGGCCATGCTGGCCTTGAATGTTGGCAGTTGTAATCCAACACACCTTGGATTGTACCAGTTTGGGTAAGGTTGCATCAAACAATATGGTCTTTTGGGGCAATGATTGATAGATGGCACATGCTGGGAAAGATGAAAGATAGGATTATGTATAAGATTCCATGCATGGTATTCCATTGTAAGTTTCCCTAGCATCTCTTTTCAGTATTACTGATTTCATTTCTCACCTGTTTGAAAAAGTACTTTTAAAAAATGTATTTTATCAACAATGTGTGTTCAGAAACTACACACACACACACACACACACACACACACACACACAGTAGCTGCAACTAGCTTCCTTGTCTTGCATTGTTTTTACCATTTCTTGTAAGACCCTCGAGTTGTATTTTTCAGTTTAGAAAATTCCCTATACATTTCCCTGCAGTAAAAATGACATTAACCCTTTCAAGCCATTATGGTACCCATTATACAGCCCATGTAAAATTCAATTGTATCAATAAATTTTCTTAAAGTTAAGAAGTAGACATTTGTTGACATTATCCTCCTCCTGCTACTCCTCCTCCCCATCATCATCATCATCACTGTTATTGTTCAATAAAAATAATATGAGCAATAGGAACAATAATAATGAACTAAGAGAACTTGGCAAAACAGAAAAATTGTCTGTATGCCCGAAATCAGCAATGGCATAACTAGCTGGACCAGAAGAGCATGTGGAAAAAGAAAATGTACACTGACAGCAAATGCAGTTTTCCCATTCAAATCTCAGAGTACTTTATATTTGATGCATGTGGTTGCAGCTGACGCATCTCCCCTCCACCGTGTGTCCCAGAGCCAGGGAGCTGGTGCTAGAAATCACACCTGCAGAGATGGCTGGATTTTGTAATTCAGTGCACTTGTTGCTTGGTATTAGCACACTACTAAAACGAGACAGATGGCGGCCTGCAGTCATGTGACTCATGGGGCTGGCTCGGACCCTAATTGCTTTACCTCCAGACCAGATTGCCATGTGCATTCTTGGTATGATGGCACCGGTGGAGGCTCTTTGAAACTTCTTTCAACGGGAGGCAGAGAATCGTTAAGGCAGATGGAAGAACTGGAGGGGAAGTTAGCCTTTTCCTCCCCAGCAGAATCCCCAGTGCCTCACCCCACATGCAGTTCAGCTTTTTGAAGGCCTCCACTGGCACTGTGAATGGGTGTTCTTTAACCCTAAATAGCTACACTGTTGGAGGGGAGAAATAGGAAAGCATCAGCTTCGGATTGGAGATTAGAGATTTCTAGACCAGAGGGATAGTAGACATGGCCTGGAGGAAAAGCTTGCAGGCTTGATGGAACAGCCTGGAAGCTTGCCATGTCTGTCCTAGTGAAATACTGGGCCTGTCTGTCTCAGAACCTTCCCAGTGCTATATTTGCTAAGAAATTAAATGCTCACCTCCAAACAAGATGATCATGTACATTTTTAGAATGTAGGGAAAGTAGACAGATGCATCAAATGGAAAGGGCAATTGGACGGAATAAGTGCCGTCGGTTTCAAAGTGGGGCAGTGACTGATAGATGGCAAATGCTGAAAAAGAGGGAAAATATATTTGGATCAGCAGCTTGTAAGTGGAAAATGTCAAAGGAGGGAAATCCAAGGCCTTTAGGCCTACCTTATGGTGAAAAGCTACATTAGAGTACCTAATGCTATATAAGCACATATATATGTAGAATTTCCTAGTGAAACAACCTTTGTAGACCCAGTGCTAGTGTCATGTGAAGCATGGCATGTTTTCCATCATGCTTGACATGGTTCCAGCATGATGGAAAGATGGTTATATTTTCAACAGTAAATAGAGAAGTCAATTCAGCAATCCAGATCTTGGGCGTGTTCACACATAATGGCAAGTGACAGTGGAAATGCCAGGAGCATAGCTTGCCGTTATATCTGTACCTGGCAAGCATGGAGAAGCATGGCGGGTTTGGTTTGGTCTCCATGGAACCACCTGGAGAAACAACAGGTTGTGTCGAGGTTTCCATACTGGTTTTCCTGTCTGAACCGGGAAATCCTGTCTGAACATGGAGGGTGGGCATGGCTACATGGGCAGCAAGGGTGTGGGGGACGTGTGTGTGTGCGCGCGCTTGCGCATTGGCACAAAGCAGGGCAGCATGGGGGACAGCTCCTCTAGGCAGCTGTCAGGACTGAGAGCAAGATGGATGGAGGTAAATGCAGCACAATTCTAGAGGATCTGCTGTTTCACTCTTCACCTGGAACTAGGTGCAGGTTCAATTTCCAGCAGGACAATGACTGTAACCCCACAGCCAAGACAGTACCAAGGTGGCTTAAGAACAAGGTCATGCATGTTTTAGAATAGCCCAGTCAACGTTCGGACTTGAAAGTTGTTTACAACGGTCCCCACCCATCCTGACAGAACTGGAGCAGTTTTGCTAGACAAAAAACCAAGTAGGATCCTGATGTGCAAAGCTGCTGAAGACATATGCAAGATGATTAATAGCTGTAATTATTGTTTCTGTTTACTTTTATGCCACAATAAAATATTTGGACCTTCACTGTATTCAGTATGTGTGTGTACATTAAGTGGAAACAAGGCCAATTAAATCCCCCAGAAGATGAAGAATTCATCTGAGGATGATTTTTTCCTGCAAGGCACTGCATAGCTAATATTACCAGTCCACTTTAGGACACAGAGTTTCCCACACATGTACACGCACACGTAGGTGTACTCTTGAGGTCTCAGAAAGCATACTGTTTTCTGTGTGTATCATCCGTCCCCTTTTACCTTGAGCTAAAACTGACAGAGGATATATAGGAATCCATAGGGAATAATGGAGCCATGTCAGTTCTGCAAAATATATGCCTGTCACAGCTAGCATGCAGTAGGTGTACCTGGAAGAAGATACAGAAAGATGGTGAGATACATGTTGATACTTATAAAACTGACTTAATTGGATATTTAATGTGTCAAACTTTCCTTTTTAACATGTAATATCTTCAGAGGCCCTTTCACTGATTCTCTCTTTAAATCTGTGACATATTGGAAGCCAAAGGAGCCTATCTTGCAAAGTTGTGCTATTCCCCTAAAATTATCTTGCAGTGGGATTTTACCTCTGCTTTTAAATACAAAGCCATATGTATCTGTTGTGTATCTTTTTCCAGGAAATGGCAGATTCAGATTCGGTGTCTGGAGTAAGCATGTCTGGACATCTGCCAAGGGCCCACACTGGCCAGAGAGCATTGAGAAGGCCCTGGCCCAGTCTGCTTCTCCTCCTCACCATTGCAATATATGTATTACTCTGCCTCTTGTTCTGGCACAGACACTGGGGACACGGAGGAGGATCGGCAGCAGGTGCCACTGCCTGCTAGTACAAAACAAAACAAGCAAAGATGGGAAAGAAGAAGGGGAGGAGAATAGCAGCTGGGGACAGTGGTGGTGAGAAGATGCACACCCTGAGGACAAGGGGCCATTGCAGGTGTCCTGTCCAAAGGCCTAAACCCTATACCTGCTTTTGTGGCTCATTGGCCTTTTATACAGACACCGCTGCCCATTTTATATCTCTGTGTTTTCTGGCTATTTCAGAACAAATACTTGGCGGTTTTAAAACAGGAAATCAGAAAATGCATTACAATAATTCATCCAGTAGTGGCAGAGAAGAATTTCTGGAAGAATTGTGCTCCCTCCCCCATCATAAATATACAAATAAGCTTCTTAACTGGATCGCTCGTATTAAAGGATCATCCTAATCCACTAGGCAACCAACATGTCTCTAATGCGGAGGACTGCTTTTGGAAGGCAAGAACAGTCTTTTCTCACAAGAGTCCAGATGTTGTTTAGATTAACTAGGTAGCGAAGCTCGTGCTGTTCTTCTTTGTCGTGCTTGACTTCGGCAAACTGCAGGAACCTGGTGAAACCTGTTTGCTCACATTTTTTCTCAACTGACCAGGACCTTATTCTTTGGTTGTCTCAGGACAGATCATGTTGATTAACAGAGCCTGAAGCGGCCAGTCTAAGCCAATGGGATTTTTTGATGTCATCCCCTTCTGCTTTTATGGAAGCAGCTCTTGTGCAGTCCACAGCTAGCAAGGTTATAAATATATGTGGAATTTTAATAGAGAAAGGAGCACACATTTTTCTCTTCCTTGCTATGTCTGCATTTGATTTTGCAAGCTGAAAAATGTAGTGAACGAAGGTGACAAGAGCAGCCCTGGGTCTACTAGAATCTTACCTGACCATGTCAGTGATGTTCCAAAGAAAAAATAAGAGGCATACAACGTATTTCCCCTGAACTTCTTCTTGACTAGAAATCACCACAAACAGGATGATAATTCTTTCTGTGATCTGGAAAGAAAAAGGATTTGGTTCCTTCAGTGCCAGGTATTTGGTCACATATCAGAAAAGCGGTTATGGGGGAGACTGTTCAAATGGTGATAATGGAGACCTTACAATGGAGCGACATTGTTCTGGCAGCAGTAAGAAGTGTGAAGAAATGAGATGACACATTAAGCATTTTTGCCCACTGCAATCTGTGTTTTACGTTTCGGTTCACACATGATGGTGACCCGTGGTATACGTTGTGGAATACTAGGTTGTTATGCTGTGCAAGCCCAGCCACATAAAAAGACAAACAAACCTGATCTGTTAACCGCAGCAACCCATAACAAGAACACATTGTTTGTTGTTCTTCCTGCTGTACATGTGAACCCAGAACCCTGGGCTGTTTGTAGGTTGTTTTGCCAGGCAACAGAGGTGACAGGCAAGAATGGTCAAAAGTCCAGTCAATTTACTTACTGGAACTGGAGTGCCACAAAGGCATTCAGGATGCAGGGATGGAGCAGATGAAGCAGGGAGAAGAAAAGGAGCAACCCAGGAACTAAGAAAACACACCAAGACTACCACACAAATCCCGGGAAGGGTAACAAATCATGGGTTAAATAAACCATGGGTTACTGTTACATGTAGAATAGGTTCATGCCTCTCTTACCTTCCTTGGCAACCATATCTCATTTTACTCAATAAAATACTCCTGTGGTCCCAATGAAAGTTGCCCTCTCCCACCTTGAACCTAATACTAATCCTGAGCAGAAAACTCTCACTACAGCCAAGGCAAGCTAAGAGTAGCTTGGATAGTATGATTTCTCTAACCATGGCAAGAGGATAAGGACTAAACCCCCATTCTGCATATGATGTTTCTAATTGGGGAAGAGGGCTGCAGCTTTAATGTTAACTTTTACATGGAGCACATTAATTGGACTTATGCAATCATATTGTGTGCACTTCAACTGATGTTCATCTCTAAGTAGGAAAAGTTATCATTCAGACACAGTGATGAATGGTTGAGACCCTGGTTAGCTAAAGGAACACCTCCTTCTGTGCACACCTACTGGGACCTTAAGATCTTCTACAGGTTTCCTTTTCTGAGGGCCGTTCTTGAAGGAAGTGAGGAGGGCTGCTACAGGAGAAGGGCCTTCTCAGTGGTGGCACCTTGATTGTGGAATATGCTCCCCGGAGATGTTTGTGCCAAGTCTTTATTCTTTCTGGTGTTAAACCAAGACCTTTTTATTTAACCAGTATTTTAATTGGTTATACACACACACTCACATGAGATTTAATTCTATTTTAATCAAGTACTGTAAACTGCTTTGTTGTTTGTATTATTGTAAACCATCTAGAGATTTTCTATGGAAATATAGATGGTATAGAAAATTCTAAACTAAACAAACAAACCATGGTTTATTGTGACATCCCAACTAGCTCTATGGATCTCTTTCTGATAAACCATTGTATCTGTTATCTTGAGAAGTACTGTTATCCACAAAGTAAAACTGTGTACCTTTCCCATGGTTCTATTTTTTATTATTATTATTATTTTGGACAAAACCTGTGGAAACTTATTGTATGGCAGAAGGAAGCAAGACATTATTCTGATGTCATTAAATGAAACTTAATGAGAGAATCTTTGGGGTATGTTTCCTTGTGTTGCTGTTCCTGTTCCCTCCTCAAACAAAAAGGAAGTTAATATTCCACGGAGGCTGCACCAAGTTTTGCTATGTCAGATCCTCCAGTTCGCAAGTGCAATTTCAGTAAACCACAGTGGCCAGAACCATATGGCTGCTAGATAAGAAACAAGAAACTGATGCCTCGGTTTAGCATTCAGCACTTTTCTGGAAGACAGGAATTCCCGAACCAGATGACATTGTTAGATAGAAATAAATGGCCTTTTTTCTGAAGCAATATCTTCTATATAAAGAAAGATTTCACTCTCGTTAGACAAAAGAGAACTGCTCAGCTTCCTAGATGCTTTTTCAGGGCAGAATGTTTTAATTATTGGGATTTCCCCCAACACTTCAACAGATAAATTACTGCTTTAAATAGATTAATTGAATTAAAATGTATAGCTGGAGACATATTCGCGTGATGAAATTTGTTCAGTGTTCTCAACAAATGGCCCTCTTGAAGTCCAACCCACCTCGCAATGTTGTAAGGAAATGGTGGTTTGTTACAACTGGTTACTGACAGTACATGCTGCGGACTAAAAGCATTGCGAATACTGCTTCAGGGCCCTGTCATGAACACCAGCCAGGGTGGCGCAGTGGTTAAGAGCGCGGGACTGGGACTCAGGCAATCTGGGTGTTAGTCCCCACTCGGCCACGAAGCCAGCTGGGTGACTCTGGGCCAGTCTCAGATGGACCGGTTAGCCTTACGTCCATTGCAGGAAAAACAATGGAGAGGCTCATAACAGAGAGAGATCCAGTGATGCTAGACAGGGAATGGACGCTGGCAGCCACACAACACGGCTTCCGCAAAAACAGGTCCTGCCAGACAAACCTTGTGGAATTCTATGATAAGGTTTCGAGATGGCTAGATAGAGGGGATGCAGTGGATGTGGTATACCTGGATTTCAGCAAGGCCTTTGACAAAGTGCCTCATAATAGCCTGTTGGAGAAACTGAGGAGTTTTGGGATACACCAAAGCACTGTCTGGTGGATTAGGGCATGGTTGACTGACCAAAAGCAGAAGGTAACCATTAGTGGGGAATCATCGGGATGGCGGCCAGTGACAAGCAGGGTCCCCCAGGGCTCTGTCCTGGGGCCGATCCTGTTTAATCTTTTCATTAACGACATGGAAGAAGGGGTGAACAGTCTGCTGATCAAATTCGCAGATGACACTAAAACTGGAGCAGTGGCCACAACTGAGGAGCAGGTACTCCAGATCCAAAAGGATCTGGACAGGCTATGGAAGTGGGCAAGAGACAACAGGACGGTGTTCAATGTGGGTAAGTGCAAGGTCTTCCACTTGGGGTACAGGAATAGGTGTCATAAATACAGGTTAGGGGACAAGTGGCTGGAGAGCAGCATTTGTGAAAGGAACCTCGGGGTGCTGGTTGACTGCAGGCTAAACATGAGTCAGCAGTGTGATGTGGTGGTCAAGAGGGCGAACGCCACCCTTGGTTGCATAGCCAGAAGTGTGGCTTCTAGATTGAGAGAGGTATTACTACCACTCTATACTACTCTGGTGCGCCCGCAACTGGAGTATTGTGTTCAGTTTTGGGCTCCTCATTACAGAAAGGATATAGCCAGGTTGGAGTCAGTTCACCGTAGGGCCACAAGGTTGGTGGCCAGTTTGCAGGGGATGGGGTATGAGGCGAGACTGAGGGAACTGGGTCTCTTCAGCCTGGAGAAGAGGAGACTCAGAGGGGATCTGTTGGCGACATACAGGTATGTGAGGGGATGTCACATGGAGATGGGTAGAGACCTGTTCTCCCCTGCAAAGGAAGGCAAGAGGCGCTCCAATGGAGCAAAGCTCAGGGAGCCAAGGTTTCATTTGGATGCCAGGAAGCACTTCCTGACAGGACCCTGAGGGTGTGGAATGGGCTTCCCCGGGAGGTCGTTGAGGCCCCATTGGGGAGGGTGTTCAAGGACAGGCTGGACATGCACATGGTGGGCATGTCGTGAGCGGAGCCGGCTAGTGCCGGAGGTCAGACTAGATGGCCCGGGAGGCCCCTTCTGACTCACTCTGTTTCTCTGTTTCAGACTTTCAGCCCAGCCTACCTACGAGGTACCTCACAGGGTTGTTTTGTGGGGATAAGATTGAGAGCAGCAGCAGGAGAATGATGTGAGCATTCTTAAGTTCTTTGAAAGGAAAAAAGGCAGGATATAAATATAATAAATACAGTAAATGTCCATAAAGGTAGGGTGGGGCCCCATGTCTTTACTACTAAGTGTTCAGAAAGCAAGATCTAAGCTGGAATGATACGGTACAGTTGTTGCAGTTCAGGGATGAAAACTTTCCAAGCCTCTGGACTCATTCCAAGCCATGCTCCATTACTGTCCTCACCACAAGTTGCTGATGTCGTCCAGAAATTATTAAGATTTCAGCGGAGATCCAGTGCCTCTCTGGTGGGAAAGACAGGTGATTGTTCCATCTGCCATCCAGGTGCTGCGTGACATGTTGATGGTCCCTCCCAGTTACCTGCCCTGCTTTCTCTTTACCTGGGCAGCCCTTCAGATAGAAGATCCCTTCAAACTTTGCTCTGTGAAGAAGGATGCGCTGCCATCCTCATCATGAGCAGCAGCCTTCCTAAGTGGCTTGAGAACTGCTCCGTCAGGCAAATTACCACTTTCCAACCACCCTAGGCATTATTGCTGTGTTGTGCTAAGATGAAGGATGCAGCAAGGGAGGGAAGCCCTGATTAATTTGGTGTGCTCATTTCCTCATTTCATATCTTGGTTGAGACTTTGGCCATGTTAAAATTGCAGGCTTAACTGAAGCTCAAGGAAGGCAAACCCTCCCTGAACACAACAGATGGAGCACTGTGGGGATTTTTGTTTGGTTGCCTGGTTAAGAAAAAGTACGAAAGAATGTGACCTATACTGCTTAGCTTTGCTTCCTTGAGTTTACACTTTGTTTTCATTTCACTTGCTGACCTCCTTGGTCAAAACTACATTTAAAGTCCAAAAGCCTAGGTCCACTCGTCTATAACCAGAAAGCAGAAACCAAAAGGCTGTGTAGTCATTTTACAAAACATAAACACAAAATGTTCCATTTTTCATTCATGCTCTACTTCTCAAAAGGTGAATGTGGAATTCCCCTACCCTTCTCTCGGCACAGCCTAGGTGGCAATTTAGGTTTCAGTGAAACCTTTCTGTGAAAGCCACTTGTGGCTTGCAGGCAACCAGTGAAACAACAGAAGTCCAATATGTTTAATACCAAATATATAGTCTATTTTTCAACTGCATCTTGTTTGGGAGGTCACACGATTGCATTCTGCTCTAACATGGAAAAAAACCCTCTCTTTTGAGATAAAGATGAATTCCAGACATGCATGATTTCGGTCAATA